GGGGGGGGGTTCTGTCAGGGAGCAGAGCAGCAGAACTGCTGCTGCTGCTGTTGGGAGCATCCAGGCTGAACTGGCTGTGTTGTGTTTTTCTGCCTCCTCTTCAGCATCTTTGTGAAACACAACATCAGGCGCCAGGATGATCTACGAGCTGGTTTACATTCTGATTTATTCCCACGGCTCTTTGTTACAATTTGAATCATCCTATTTTTCCACACACATCAGGCTTCCGGGTCTCAGTGGGACTCCTGGACGTGAGAATAATGAAAGCGGCGTCAGGAATCCAGAGCAGAGACCAGTTGCCTGTGACTCTCAATGGATAAATAATTGAAACCATCAGACAAAGAAGCACACGAGTCTGCGATGGAGTATTTTGTAGCGGCGAAGTAATTGCAAATTTAACATTAATTACGCAACATCCACCTTTACTGGATGAGTACGGATGTTAATTGCTAATTATGCAAATTTACAGTAGTGAGATAATGAGATTTTTTTTCTTACCTGGCTGGTTTCCTCCAAGGATCAGAGCACCAGATGAAAAGGCGTTCGTAAGAAGGTTTTGACAAGAGCGCCGCAGATACTGTAAATTAAAGACATACATTTCATTAGAAAAAGCCATTGATATTTAAAGCATTCAATTTGGTTGGGAGTTATGGAGTGACCCAGGAAGGAAACGTCGCTGTACTTTTAGCTTATGGTAAGACAGATTGTAGCTGAATTATTGACCATGGTTGTTGGCTGGTGGCTGACTGTGAGGTCTGCAGGCTCCCGGTATTTTTTAGGCAAAACTACAGAAATATAAATATGAATGCACATACTGCTGCATATGAGCTACGATGTGTCAGGCATATCGTGTAAGATATTTTGATTTCTCAGTGCAGGCCTTTGCTTCATACTGTGCCCTGATTCTCTCCTCTACAGGTTATTAAAGTAACCGCCCTGGGCCACAGGAAGAGAATCATCGCCTCGATAGCAGAGCGACCGTATGAAGAAGCTCCATCCAAGTCTCGACGTATGTCCCCAATCCTGGTAAGACTCTAAATATGGTATCTTAACCCAAACACATTTATCAGGGCCGTCAAGGATGATTAACAATGACTGACAATGATTGACAATGCCTAAAATATTAACATCACATGGGAAATCGTCGTCGTGTAAATTCGAAAATTATCCAATTTAACTAAATTAGTCTTTTTACTGCAATTAAAGTCATTTGTCTATGCCACAGTGAAACACAGAACAAATAAATACTTATCCACTAGATGGCAGCAAGATCTTCATGTATGTCTTTCTTCACTTCCTGCAGGTATTTCAGCATTGTGTACAACTAAACAGACCCATGTTTTCACTGCGGCTGAGTAAATTAAGTAGAATGCATTATGTTCCATTACATATTTGTGACATGTTTGTTTTGTGGTGTGGTGTGCTAAGGGGAAAGCATCCATCTGAAACACTGGTCTAATCCCTTAAATCTCGCTGAATTCATTCACACTCAAAGAAACGGCAAGTGTCAGTCTTAGGCACCAGGAGTGTAGATGTGATTACAGCTGTCTCAGAGCCACTATCTCACCATCTCCACTATAGAAACAGAGTGTCAGCACTAATTCACTTACTGTAATGTACTGATTATGCTAAGGAAGCCGTTGAGATATTAGAGCAGTTCTGCACATGCCAGCAATAAGTCCCATGTTCGATGTCGCTGATGACTTTATAAGACAAACGTCGAATGCTGTAACGGGGGATTCAAAGGATGTGCAAGAGATTAATAATTCGAAACAGATCAATTGTAATTTTCTAAATGAGCAGCAGCGTAAACAGGGCTTAGTGTGGAAGTTAAACGACGTCACATGCTAAACTCCATTCAAATGCCACAGTCATTATGTGAGAAAATTGATCATTTCCTTTTCCTCACAGCAACAGATTCTAATTTTGGAAAGAGATTCTTCAAGCACATTCCATTCCTACCAGTGATGTTGTCAGGTCTGACTTCTCAGGCAGATTACACCAGCTGAGAGAGAGAGAGATGAATCTGGAGGATTAGTGCTTGAGGATTAAGTCCAGATGCAGATTAGGGGACAAAGTATCCAGTATAGACAAACGCCGTCAAATCACTCATATCTACTGTGTCTGTGTTTGTGTCAGTTTCATGACCTCCTGTCCCAGAGCACGACCCCACTCAGTCAGATGGACCCCTATACCAGTCGCTCCATGGACATGCTCCTGCCCTTGACGGAATCGGACCGCAGGCGGAGAGGAGTGGACCAGGACTGTAGTGTCTCTCTGCGGTCGTACAGTGACCGGCCTCGCTCTATGGTGAGTTTCCCAGATCACAAACCTATTGTCAGACTGAAACTAACCTGATACAAGGAAATGATGGTGTTGCGCTGATTAATCATGAATAATCATGATTAATCCTGATAGATGCACAGCTACCCTGTGATTATAAAAAGTTTTACTTCAAAACTGCCCTTATTTATAACAATGGAATGATAAGAATGAGAACGGTTAAACTCCCAAAGTGTCTCCTGCATTGATTCACTTGTTCCTGAAAAGACAATAACCCACAGAGTCACACAGGGATCAGCATCCTCTGTTTACTAAAGGCCTAATCCACAAACAGCAGAGCTGGCGTGTCTGCTGATTCACCACCGGGCGCAGTCTACCAGGGAAATGTCGTAGCGCTTGCACTACAGAGTCCAGGATATGTGAAATCAATACTTATCTGTTTTTTTCTAAATGCTTAGTGGATTATTGTAATCATTATATTTTACTCTGACAGGTGATTTATGAAAGAGCTGAGCACAGTGTACACTGACTTAATGGCTCAACCCAGTGCATGAATATTTATGTGTGTACCAGCAGATGAGACAGGACTAATATTAAAGTGCTGACCAGGCAGACTTGGATCCTTCCCTTGCCTTCGGGCTTTTTTACAGCAGTCACAGGTCTTTTACTGCATTTGGGCTGTACTGAAACACACGGCGGGTGTGTGTGTGTGTGTGTGTGCATTCACTCATAGTGATGAGAGGAATCTGTTTTAGCTGAAACTATCATAAAGGTACTCTGAGTCCTGTCACAACAGTTTTCTTTACCTCAAACTTGTGGTTGTGGTGTCAACGTACGCTGCTGTCACTGCAGACGTTGCTGTCGGTGGTTGACCTGCACCAACAGATAAAACACACACATGAGACACACTCATCTTGTAATCCAGTAAAACAACATAGAAGCTAATGCTGGACATTGCTGTGCTAAAAACAGTAATAAAAACATATAAAAATAACACAAAGTAACCACACAGTTTTATATTTATATGAAAATAACAGATAATGAAGACTTCAATAATATAATACATACAATAATTAAGACCATGTGTAGTTATAGTTTTAATATTTGGTGTAGAACAACATTGCTGTATGTAAAGTTAAGGTGGTTTTTTTTTACAAATATACTGTATGTTCAAAACTGAACAGACCTACCCAGTTTCGTTAGCCAGTTAATTAATGTGTGACCGCTTAAAGCTTATTTTCTATGGTTCATTTAATTAAGTGGGGTGTAGCCCGCAGTGGGGCACAGAACTACTGCAGGCAAATTAATTTCAATTTTAATACCTTATTTTTGCAACAGCAGTGACACTCTGTATAGCCTGAGCAGGGGTGACCTAACGAGATAAAGACAAAGAATCAAATTGATGATTAGTGGAAACTAATCACTTACTTTTTCCTATCTCTTCCAACTGTGAATTCTAGTCTGCTTCACTTTTTTCCACATGGCTTGCTCCACTCCACTCACTCACCAAAGTCCACAGAGATCAGTGAAACTCAGGTGTTCATTTTATCTCTAATTTGCTCTGTTCAGCCATTTGTTAAAACGCTCCTCGTGTCCTGATGGATGTCAATTAGTAAAGCTGTTGAGAAAACAAATCCTGGCTTCTGTCGCCTGCACAAACCTGTAATTAACATGATCATTTAATCCATAATTGATTGGCCGACGTGGTGTAGAATACCAGTCTGTCACTAATCTACCCCAGTGCACACGGTCTGTGCTCATGTAGGACATTAGCAGGGACTTGATGACTGAGGCGGACACAAACTGTAGCAGAGACAACAAAAAAAGGTAGACAATGAGACGCAGCACAGCCGACATTTACAAAAACAGTTGTCTGTTGATATCAGTATGGACGGAAGGTCAAAGAAGAAAAATAGTTAAAAACATTTAAAAAATGAATCATTTGAATCAAATTCGTAAAGAGTGACTTCTTGCCTTTGTAGGACAGACAGAGCGACAGACACAAAGAGTCCCGTTTAAACCTGCGGCCACCGAGCCACTCTGCTACCTACACCACGGTGTCGGCCTGGCATCACCAGCCTGAGAAGCTCATCCTGGACTCCTGTGGGTACGAGGCTACAGTAAGTGACATCACTTTACTTCACATTATTACGTTGGGGTGATCCAACAACAGCAATGATGCACCATTTAAATCCTAACCCAACTATTTTGATTTTTCACAGGTATTTTTGGCCCCAACTTATAAAATAAAAATATATGTTTTTATGAGTCTTTGTAGGAGTATTGGTATTGGTGTACACAGTTCCTAATGTTAAGAGTTGTCTCAGATATAAGTGAGGACATTATTGTTTTCCTCATTTGACCTGAACAACTGTATATTGATTTTTTTTCTTCTCCTCCTAGTACCTTGGATCAATGATAATCAGGGACCTGCGAGGAATTGAGTCCACACAAGATGCCTGTGCCAAAATTAGGGTACACAGTAATGAAACGTTAATAAGACTCCTGATGATCAGCTGTAATTATGTGGCTATTAATTACTTCTATCACTAACTATCACTGTGACCTTTCAAGAAATCCAAGGATTCCAGGAAGGGCCCGGTTGTCATTCTGTCCATAACCTACAGGGGAGTGAAGTTCATAGATGCAGCCACAAAGGTAACGAGAGAGTATGTTTGTCTGGTTATTGATCCAGGACTTGGACGTGTCCATTAGCAGCTGTATCTTCAACTCACTCTCACTTCCCAACTTTCTCTGTCAGAGCATCGTAGCAGAGCATGAGATCAGGAATATCTCCTGCGCCGCCCAGGACCCAGATGACCTCTGCACTTTTGCTTACATCACCAAGGATCTGAAGAGTGGGCACCACTTCTGCCATGTTTTCAGCACTGTGGAAGTGGTGAGTCCAAATGTTTCTACACTGTTATAACCCGGAACAGGAGATGAGTCTGGAAGTCTGGCACAAAGTCATCATGTCAGGCAGCACCAGCAGGTCACACTTGTCCCGATTGGCTGTTTGAGTGGTTTAATTAAAACTCCTCTCCTGCTATGAATGGCATTTACATGTTACAGAAAAAAGAGATTCTGACACAAGTTCTAGTCTCACTCTCCTCAAAGGTCAATTACAGTCATTTATCTTTGGCAAATCACAGATGTTGAAGCACAGGGTGTGACGAAACTGCCCCTACACCCTGCATAGTGCACTGCACAGTAGGCAGTGTGTTGTTTGAATGTTCAGTGAGTAGACGTTGTCCACTATAAAGGGCACTCAATGCATCCCACAATGCACCGCAAAATCTAGTTGATAACCGATAATCACTACCCAAGCAATTTATCCCATCATGCATTGCAGTCACGACGATATAGACGCGAGAGTAGCAATGTCTGTCCGTCTGTCTTAATTGTGCAACAGTAATGACGTCATTTTAACTTTAAAAGGTACTTCAATGTACCTGGAAACTCAGTTGGTTTTTTTCAAAAACCTTCAAACAGACCCAGACCTATGAGATCATCCTCACCCTGGGTCAAGCTTTCGAGGTGGCCTATCAGATGGCAATGCAGTCCAGGGCCAGACACTTTGCAACGCCCACACCTGTGGTCTCAGAGGTCGTGGAGACCAAAGCCAGCCGTCCTGTATCTCAGTCATGGAGCAGCATGCGGAGATCGGCAGTGAGTACAAGCCTACAAGCACAAAAACTGCACATAAATACACACTTGTACTGCATGGAGAGGACAAAACATTCTTTTTTTGCATGATTAAAACTGTGAACTGAGTTTTTTTCTGTGGCTCACAGACAGGTTGATCACTTTCTACAGGAATATCCGCAGGTTTTCGCCCCACTGCTTGGACACGCTGGCTTAACCATTTATTTTAATGTGTTAATGTGGAGTGAATGCCCACATATACCCTAAGCTATAGGCGTTAATACACTGTCCTGTCAGGCTGCTTATAATGAGCACCAAGCAATCACTGTCACCAGAAGAAAGCTGCACAGACGGGAGCAGAGCGCTTCAGCGCCGTGTGAGCTTGCCGGCGCACACAAATCACCAGGTTTTACAATCTGCCCAGTAAGATAAAATACGGACCAATCACAGAGTGGCATAATGACTGTGGTTGTTTGTAGGTGAGATGTGGGGAACACTGATTTGCTGCAGTTTGATTTCAGCCCTATTGTTGCATCCAAACTGCCACGAGCAGGAACTCTTTGCCGAGTTCTTAGTTCATCGTTTCCTGCAGTCCTTTGTTTGGTCGCAAAGTTAACTTTCAAATCAGCCCCACTGGAATTTAATGCAATTTAAAGTGGCATTAAAGGGAATTTCCAAGTATGTTAGACTGCCTAGAACAGGGGATATCAAAGTTGAATAGTGGGTATTCCTTCAAAGAACAGGAAAACATGCCAGCTAACTGCTGCACCAGAGTTAGCAAAGTGTGTTTAAATAAATACAAGAAATCAAAGAATTTCCCTTTAATGCTGTCCCCTTTGTACTGGTGAAAACTGAAATGCTCTGTCCGTATTTTCTCTCTCCTTTCTTTTTTAAAACCTGTCTTTGTTTTTGTCTTTTTGGTCCTGCTGCCTCCCAGGGTGCACCTCCGCTCGAATGCCGCTGCTGTCACTGTCACACGTGTACTACCCACCGTCCTTCCTTCCTCCCGTTGCACTCTGTTAGCCCTGGAGTCCAGGTCCTCCTCTTTCCTTCCCTCTATTTGAGCCTCAGCCATCACACATCTGCTTCCACAACACCACTCCACGTCTTTTCTTTTGCTTCGGGTGAAAACGTTCTCTCCTTGTTTCATAGAACTTTATGACCCAGCCATGAATGATCTCCTCACCCTTTTACTTTGTCATCCCCCATTTTCATCATGCATAATTTCCAGAGTTGTAAAAACCCAGTTTGTTCCACGTGTCCGGTTAAGACAAGTTTGCCAAGAGTGATCCATGTTGTTGTACTGAGGACTGTTGGCCAGACTGAGTGGGTGAAGGTTCTAGTCCAGAGTGGTCGTGCACAGCATGGTGTCAGTGGCCTCTGTTGTGTTCTTCATTATGTCACAGATCTCATGAGGTGAGGGTGTCATCCATAAACAGGAACAGTTTATTAGATCAACATGTTTTAGTTACTGTAACTTGAAACACATCAGGTTTAGGTCATGTGACCAGTGTGAGCTGTGCATGGTTTGAGACAGATCAGATCAGGTCTTTTTTTGAGCTGGCCTTAATCCGTTTGGTTTCACTGCTGTCAGAGTTTTCAGTCAGACCTCATCCATGTTTGTGGGCTGAAGCCTGTGATTTTAACACCATCACTGGATTGTGCCTCTATTCCACATGCACGTGTATGAGCTGAGGAACTTGTCCGTGTGGCGCAATGGCCTCCACTGCTGCCCGTCTCACGTCCTCCTCTCGTCCCTCCTTCCCCCCGGCAGATCGACCCCCTGGAGATGGACGCAGACATGCAGTCTCTGGGCAGCACCACCTGGCTCTTGGACCAGCGGGACTCCAACAACAGGCGCCCCGTCAGCACCAAGTACGAGACAACCATATTCTAAGGCCGGACCCCCAACAGCTGCCCCTCTGCACCTCAGTCATACTTTCTTCTTACCCTCTGATTCACACACACACACACACACACAAGCCCTGTGCCTTCTCACTGTGATGGTATAGCACCCCTCAGGGCTGCCCACTCCTGCTCCCTACTCTGCCCCGCCCAGCGAGCTACACCGACCTCCCACCCACCATGACAAACACTCCTGCAGCTCTCCTGCGCCTCCCCTCCACTCCAGGCTGGCAGTGTCCTTTGCCTGTTGCTGCTGCAGCCAATGACAGAGCCCTGGAACTTTCATCTTTTTTTGAACCAAAACTGCCTCCTCCTCCTCCTCATCTTCATCTCCCTTCTTTTGACAACTTCCATCTGCCTCCAAGTCCCCCAAACTTCTAAAAGGTTCTTCTTCCACTTTCAGGTGTTTGTTATTTTCCTTTGTTCTAATATTTTTAGATTTGTTAGCATGCTTAGCTTCAATTCTTGCTTAAGTCAATTGTCACCAGACTGGAGTTTATTTCCACACAGAGAATAAACAAAACAAAAATCCTATGAGTAAAGATCAATAATATCTTGCAACGTGGCCAATTTAGTTGTTTTTAAACCATCTCTACTTTTAGCAGTTTCTCAAGGCCCACACTGACCTGCTGTGAATGATCAATTAATCACAATTATTCATGGTCCCACATGATCACAATGAGTCATGATTAATTGAGATAAGTCAACATTCCCAGATTTGGCAATATTTTTTCTTTACATTGTTAAAACAAAAAGACAAATAACCACAGGTAGAAGTGACTTTATCCCACAGTGTCAACTTATTTGATATACTGCACACATAGTCCTGCGTGTGATTTAAAATGCATAAAAACGTATCTAATTAATAAAAAAATAATTATTTTTGACAGCCCTATAGAAATATCATTATATAATATTCTATTAAAAACAATCCCCTTCTTGAGCCGTTTTATATTTATTGGTTCACTTGACTTTTTTTTTCTTTCTCCATCTATAGCCTTTCCTGTCTTACCAGGCATCAACCACTGTGAGGCACTGTAAGGAGGCTGTTTTGCTAGCATGGGAAAGAATGCACGTTGGGAGTAAAAGAGAAGAGAAAAATAAAACCCAAAAACGGCCACATGCAGCAAAACAACCCTTGGTTTTATTTTTCTACACATTTGTACAAAACTCATGAGAACGAACAGCTCCAGAATCTAAACTGAAATGGACCAACAAGGACTGAACCCTTGTATGATCACACACAAGACAACTTTACTACATTCAATCAAGGACGGCAGCCTTACGTACTCCATTTTTGGGTTATCTTCAATTTAATACATTTTCCCCTTCACCTCCCAGAACCCTGTCAACCATCGCCCGACAGATGCACGCTTCCTCACTATCTCAACAGGACGGAGAAAAAAAAAAAAAAGCCAACACTTCTGATATTCTGGCACATTAAACGTGACTTTTGACTGTGACTGGGATGACATTTGTATAACGGATGGTACAGTACATCCAGATGAGTCTTTGACTCCAGTCTTGTACTGCCCTGTGCCTCTCAGCAGTCATGGAAAAAAAACTGGAAAAAAAGACAAAATTTTTGTCTTCTTTTTGTCTGTTTGAAAGAAAACACTGTGTTAAAAAACAGCACTATCCCTTTTAATACATCGTTTGTTTCCTAAGATGCAAATAGGAAATGAGTGCATTTTGTGATACTTTTTGATAGACGGGGACTGATGGAGATCTCAGAAAAGGCATCGTGACATTACTGCAAACAGAGGCGGACAGAGTGTAAAAACATTTCACTGTTTGGTTGTTAAACTAAAAAAAGAAAAGTAAAATCCTGCTCAGTTTCATTCCATTTAAGACCAGTTGAATTACAGCCTTGAGCACAGATTTGGTCAACGTTTCCCAATATAGAAACTTTTCATTATTATAATTACCCTGATTTTATGGGTAGATATTCATACTGCTTCACCATTATTTAGAATTAGGTACAGTACATGCAAAGTATGTCACTTGAAAATAAACAGCAGAAAAAAAAAAAGAAAAAAAACAAATATCAATTTGAATTCCATCACATTTGAAAAATAGCTTTAAATGCTGCTCCGCTGTGGTAAAAAAATTAAGACTTGAGACTTTCTTTTTTTTTATCTGTCAAAGGATCTTTCTCTTGCACTGTGACTCAGAAACGCTCATTGCAGACTGGATGATGCATATCTGTCGTGCGTGCTGTCTGCCTTGTTTTTGTCTGTCCTCGTGGGAGTTTGGACTTCTCACTGTTTGCTGGCCACTGTCCTTGTCTCTGTGTGTGTTCTAGAGGATGTGAGGCTTGTTGCTCCTCTGCAGGAGACTGTTAAAGATGTCACCGGCCTGTGTGTGTGGCCCCAAAGCTGCGCTGTTGCCACCTGACTGTTAACTGTTAGCTTCCACTGACGATGCATGCTGGCAGTGTTCTTTTTTTTGTTTCTTTTCCACTCTGGATGCACTCGGCCTGAGCGGTCCTCGTTTGTACTGTTCAGTGTCTCGTCTCCTCTCACCCATCCACTTTTTATGTTTCCCCCCCTCTGTTACACACCCACCATTCCATCCCGTCCATGTCTCCAATGTCAACATGCTGTGTGTGTCACCAGGGCGATGTGCTAAAGTATGGATGCATTATGGAGAAGCATTACACTTTAATGAGCAGCAGCTATTTCAGGCAACGTTTTGGTGGCATGATGTTGGCTGTGCATGTGTCCGTCTTTTTAACACTGGTATTCTCCCCTGTGTAGCTCGCCCCGGCGTTCAAGTTTCCGGATACCAAGCTGTGAGTTGAAGCGGAGCAGCTGATGTGAGTTTGTTAGCGTTCGCCGAGTTAGTGAGCAGAGAAGTGGAGGAGACAGAAAGACAGTTGGAAAGAGATGTAGTGGGGTAAGAGAGATAGCATA